CAAATTTTTCCACCGATTTATAAATTGTCATTACACCACCCGTTACTTTTGGAACCTTAAGGAACAGTTGCAGCACAAAATCAATGCACACAATTTTAACACCGCACTGCAGTGCTTTACTGCAATACTTCAGGTAGTCCATGAACTACAGCTGTATTTTTCTGGTTACCAGCGATGTTGCAAAAGTCGTTACCCACACGCTTTCGCTAAAGCATCAGCAATTTTCTTCTATGCGTTCTATGCCATCTATGCCAAGAATACGTCAAATTTGCATAGTTCTGCCGATTCATTTTGCGCGTTATTACCCCGCATCGTTGCTTCTGTAGATCATTGTTGTGATTTATGCCGATCGTGTCTCCATGGTATTATAATACCTGCAATATCGGTGAGGCTCGCATCGAATAACGAATGAGACTGTTTTTTTGCTTTTTGCCCATGATGTTTCACGTTTAATGCATGACATATATTAACAGAAATTTTTCAGGTTGTAATATTGAAAATTGCGCCTATGGTGTTACGATATGTGCAGAACGGACTGCACTAGCGAAAGCAGTTTCTGAAGGACACCTTCACTTTAAAGCTCTTGCAATCTGCTCGTAAATGTCATACTCGCTGTCGTTGTCTCTTTTCACAAATCGTTTTAGAGACGGCGATGAAATTTGTGCACCATGTGGTCAGTGTCGCCAATTCATGATTGAGGTACTGTTTCGAAACCTTTCATTCATTATTTTCAGGGTATGTTATTCCTTTTGTATCGTGGGGCTATCTGATTCCAGAGTTCTTTGACATTCTCGCTCAACTGCCAAATGCAAAAACTCAATTTTCTGAATTCCAAGGAGCGATTGTGCCTGGCTTTTTTGTATATGTGATCGAGCCAGGAGTCGATCGGTCAGTTTATTAAATTGAGTAACGGGCATTCATACGCATGTTCACAACAAATATAAAGAATTTTCTGCTTCCCGCCTGCTCTACCTGACAGATACGGTCGTCAAAATCACACGTTTTGGAGAAATAATCCATTTCGAACTAGAGTAGTTTTGGGGTGTTCAAAAAGATAAGAATCATATTCTGATTTTTCAGTTTGGCGATTTCGACGTTTACCTTGTTAACGAAACTAAGAAAAAATCGAAAGTTTACACGGTGCGATCTTTGCTGCCCAGTGCATTCACTTCGGCTGATTTGAAGAATCCGAAAGTATAGAAAATCTCTCATATGTATGGCCATTGCTTTATATCACAAGAGCAAATGCAGTTCGTTAGCTTGCCTAATGTATTTTCTATGATTCTTTTCTACAGTAACTAAAATGAATGTCATGTAATATGAATGTTTACATTTGCAGTAGGGCGTGTTCACAATATGCTGTGCCGTCTTCATATATCTACGTGCAAATCTGTTATTTTCAAAGTATTTTTAAATTTAAGCATTGCTTCGATACCGCAATTGTTCGTATATCTGTATCTTATTAGATAATTACGAATTTATCTTAATCATCATATGCTGCCATTCGAAAGTAAATGTCAAAATCTGCTTCGTTTCACTGATGCTTCGACCAAACGTTCGCAGGAATTTAATTTGCGTGGGATACATCTGCAGCCAGTGAACGATTCTCAGAAAGGAAGTTCATGCTGAAAAAAATAACATAATAGTTTACTTATATACAACGCAAGTGATACTGTGGTCATTCTAGTAACTGACCAATACCGACATTTCGGACCGTGTCTCAAGGTTCTTCTTCAAGGTAGGTTAGTGATGAAGTTTCGTGAATGTGGTTGGTCGTGTGCGGTAGTCAACAGTTTCGCAGCCGAAAGGTATAAGAGGAAGGTCACAAGCATAATTTTTAAATTCGATGTCCATTTCTCAGTTAGGAACGTATTCATTACTCATCGAGGAGCCAAGGTAGAGAAAATAAGCGTTGTATTCTCCCATGCACTTACATTATATCTAACCAATTTTTCTAGAAGCTCATGATTATCTCTTTCACGTCGTCATTAGCCAGGACTTCCGCATTTGAGAAGGCAGTGCCTACGTTTAGTGCCAGCGCCACGCGTGTGTATTTCTACAAAGTGGTACGGATCATCTACCTTAGAAAGGAACACATGCGATCTACATTTGTCCAGAATTCAAAACTTTCAGTTTCTGACTTACAATACTTGAATCGGCCTTCTAACTTCTGACATTCCTGATGGTTTCCTTAGTCCTACACTTTCTAGCACCAGGTCATGTCTTAAAATACTCGAGAAAGTCGATTCTTGGCAGTTAGGCTACATTACAGGACGAAACACCATCGATGAGTTCGCAGTGGTAGTCAACGCCGTTGCTAGTCACATCGACAAACCTAATCCGCCTTCCTCGATTGTAGTTCGGCATACAGCACGTTGCCACAAGCTAAGGTAATTGAACCTTTGGTCGTTCGCCCTGCTCTGTGATTAATATTCCAGACTCCGCCAGACTGTGGGCGTTGGCACCAAGATGTCATCAGTGGAGTAGCACATGGATCCTGCTTGTCACCAGTGCTGTTCGTTTTATACACCTTGAACTGTCACCTGAAGAAGGACGTTTTCATCTGTGTGAAATACGCCGATGACATCGTATCCCAGTACGAACGTTCACGTTTCCTAGCTTCGGTAGATGAAGTAGAAAATTGGATGAGTGTGAGCAGTCTCACGTTTAATTCCACCAAATCCATCGACTAAGCTTCTCTTCGCGCCAGATGTAATAACGGATTGTAATGGAGCTTGTCATCGAACAGCTAAACGCCAGATGTAATTCCTCAGCGTCTCTTTCAACAAGATAGCGGCTGTGAAGTATCTCGGCGTAGTTGTGGATGAGAGACTTAGTTGGACGCCATGATCAGCAAATGTGCCGTTCTGTTTCGATGTTGCGGCGTATGAAAAGGCTATGCGTCGGGCCAGAGATTGAGAGAATTCACCCGCGCTTGCATAGTGCCTGTGGTTCTATATGGTGCACCCTTCTACTTCAACAACGTCGCTGTGGAACACCTCCATCGTGTCAGAAGCCTGTTAAATTTCTAGACAGGATGTGCAGCTGCATGTTGGAGGAGCTTCTGTCTGTTTTGATAAAGAATGTGATTAAAACAACTATTCAACTCGTTAAGTCGATCCTCGTTAACCCAATTCATTTTTTACCCGAGGGCCTAAAATGCACGCGTATCGAACAGACCAACAATGCGGCCAAGCTACATGCCGCGCAAATGTTGGACTTAGGCTTGCAACAAATCGATTATCTCTTTAAAGTTAGGCACTTAATGGATCCCAGCAAAAAAGAAGGAGAGCTGCGGAAAGTTGTGGCAGTCCTGGTGGAGCTGGCAAAATTACCATTTCCTTGTCTCTGTTGTGATGTTTTACATTGACTAACATTCCTAAATGTCTTTTTTCTGTTCTTGTATTGAATGACAACTTGTCATGTTCCTTCAGGGACACTTGAGTAAAAGCAAATGAATGGAATTGCATAACTGTGTTTTTTCAAGAACGCTGCAGGGATGTTTTGAGAGCAGCTGAGTTGTTCTTTATGGTATTTAAAATAAGATGATAGCGAAATAAACAGAGAGAGAACAAAGAAAAACTCGATGAGAAAAATTCATCATGCATTGTTGCACTTCAAGGTGAATATGTCTTTAGGGAATGGTTGAATCCAGGAGTTGCTTAATAATGAGGGGATGGCAATGATAGAAGACAGAAATGCTCCAGACTTTATTTCATCAAATGTAGGCCTCAGAACGTTTCCCTGTACAATGGAAGTATTGAATCACTGTCCGTATGCGCTATTCCGTAACCGATTGTGATAATCATTGTGGTCTCAGGCTACTGTTAACTCGTAAAACTTTCCTCCTGGATTATCCTAGGACAGCTTGAGGCAACCAGTTGGCAGACGATTTTGTTCAAATTAAGCAGTGTTTTGGAAGGAGTATTCCTGCTTCGACAAAATTTTTATTCTGCATAGGATTATTAA